AATAATAATAATAATAATAATAATAATAATAATAATAATAATAATAATAATAGAAAAAAAGAAAGTGCTGTGGTTGAAAGACCATGTCAGAAAACATTACCACCTTGATTTGTTTAGTTCTTTTCTGAAGTATTATTTAGTTTGTTCATTATTTCCATATTTGATAGAAAGCAGAAGTTGTTATAAAGGCTCTCAGTGGAGCCTTTTAAATTTTTTTCACAATTTTTTCATTATATATTGTTTGAAGCCTCCTCCTTCAATTTCTCCCCCCAGCCCCACCCTCCCTCTCTCTTCCTCCCTATACACTGAAAAGCGGTGTTCTCCACCATTGCTACCTACCCATAGCTTGTTAAGTCTCATCAGGACTGCCTGGATTCCTTTTCCTCTGTGGGTTGTGTGGGGAGGATTGGAGCAGGTGCTAAGACTCAACTGCCAAACTTTGGGCAGAGCGCAGGAAGTCTTATGGAATAAGAAGGGTGTGGGGATAGAGGGACATGGAGGGGACAGGAGCCCCACCAGCCGAGGACCATGCATAGAGAGGACCTAGACCCCCTGCTCAGATGTGGCCGATTGGCAGCTCAGTCTCCATGTGGATCTCTGAGTGAAGGAATCAGGGGCTGCCTCTATCATAAACTCGGTTGCTCGCTCTTTGATCAGTGGAGCTTTTTAATGTTGTTTACTGGAATACTTCATCAGTACTGTTGCAGAATTATATGTATGACTCATGATTTCTGCTCGATCAATTATTGGTGATGGTAGGGTAGACCATAAATTAGGTAATGGCTATCTGATTTGTTTATAGCAGTGCTTCTCAACCTCCCTTAATGCTGTGACCCTTTCATACAGTTCATGTCATGGTGACCATCAACCATAAAATTATTTTTGTTGCTACTTCATAACTTTATTTTGCTACTGTTATGAAACATGATGTGATTATCTGGGTTTTCTGGTGGTCTTAGGTGACCTGTGTGAAAAGGTCATTTGACACCCTTGGTGGTTGACCCCCATGTTGAGAACCGCTGCCGTAAAAGTTGGGACATACGTTTCTTGCCTTTTGTTTTTGAGCAGTGTAGATTTAAAGGTGTTGTATTGTTTTATGCATTATAGTCAGCACTTTTTTACTGAAGTATAACATATATTAGGAATGTCTACAAATCTTAAGTCTATGGCTTGACACACATTTACATCTCTATTTCCAACACCCTGGAAGACTCCTTTCTAACCACATTGTTCTCCTCTCTACCATAGAAGAGGTTTTCTGACCATCACTGGAGGTACTTTTTAAAAAAAAAAAAAAAAAAAACATAGAACAAAAATCACATGTAAATATTGACCCTTGTCATCTTTGTCCACTGTGAAATCCATTCATGTTATCGCATGTAGCAGTCACTATCCTTTTTGTTGCTTAAGTTGGCATAATGGGAGTTGGATAATAGGAGTTATTTTGAGCTTGGTTTTCTGTGTTCCATTGACAAAAATGCAGTAATTTGGGAAAGTTGTCCTACTTTCTTGTGCAACATTATATCCCAAGCTCATCTTTCACCTTCTATGCCCCTATCCTAGAATCAGCTATTTCATAGTTCTTTTTAACAGATATTAAACAGCTGAATTTGGGTGCTAGGTGCTCATTAGACCTCTCCTAAGCCCTTCTTCTGGACAGAAGTTCTGAACACAACTGTCACATATGTGTATGTATATATCCATATACCATACCTAGGTTCATATTGATAGTTTCATTCTATTTTAACATTGGTTATTTCTCCCTAATGTGTTTTTCTTATACACACACACACACACACACACACACACCCACACCCATTTCACACACACACATACATAGACATGCATGTCACATGTATGTTAGCATACTTTAAAAAAAAAGATTTGTTTGTTTGTTTATTTATTTATTTATTTATTTATTATGTAGACATTGTTCTGCCTGCACATACACCTGCAGGCCAGAAGAGGGCACCAGATCTCATTATAGATAGTTATGAGCCACCATATGGTTGCTGGGAATTGTGCTCAGGACCTCTGCAAGAGCAGACAGTGCTCTTAACCACTGAGCCATCTCTCCAGCCCATTAGCATACTTTTTAAAACTATTTTATTTGTTTCTAAAGCATCTACCTCCCTTCTCCACTGCAATCCCTTCCAACATCAGGTAGGAGAGAAAGAAGGTTAGTGGGGAGAAGAGACCTAGTTCTCTTTGGCTACTTACTGCTGTTCAGGGTCATCAGGTTCCTTGGGGCAAGTCCAATCTTCATTTATCTTTGTTTCAGGATATCTTCAACTTCTCATCAAACTGCAACAACAGCAACGAGGAGCATCAGGGGGGAGCAGCAGCAGCCTTCTTTCTTGGAAATCCCTCTCACTGGGCTCTGGCATTTATTCCCGCTTCAGAGCCCTCAGAGTTAAACTACCTAGCAAAGAGGTAGGGGCTAGCAAAGAGCCCCTCTCAGAGCCTGCATGAGGCAAATAGTCTGCTGCTGTGGACAATCTCAATCAGTCCCACATCCCACACCTGAGATCAAAACAAAAACATGTTTACATAACATAACACTTTTTAAAGACACCAAAACTTTCCACTACATATGTGTGTCCATATAATGGATATATAGATACATATATACATACATATACACATATGCCCATTTCCTATATATATAAATACATTTTTTCTTATACACTTCTTAACATGCAAACCTTGATTCTTCAGATCTTTAGCAGAACAGAACCATTTATAGTCAAATATGTTTTACATAGCTTTGCAGTTTTATACCCTATAGTAAATGCTGGTGTTTTCTAATGAGTGGTATAAAGGATAAAACACATCTGTGCTGCTGTTTAATCTTTCCTGCAGAAACAACTCATCTTAAAACATGAAATTTAAAGGAGATCAGATCATTCACTATTAGTGATATGATAGTAACAAGAAAGCTGTATCTGTTGTTCCCAGAGTGGGTTATTTTTGCCAGGGAACAGTTGTGCTCTGACTAGCTATGCAAGGCTTGATGTGTCTCCTTCTGTTGGACACACACACACACACACACACACACACACACACACACATTTCCCATTCTCAGCCAGCGGTAAACTGATTAGTTTGAAGGCCTCTATCAGATCAGTTTACTACACTCCCATTTTCAGTCTGTATGTAAGCCAAATATCTTGTTGGACATCAGTGTACACAGTTAATTCAAACTATTATTCAGCTACATGAAGTAATTTGGAGAGTACCAAAGGCATCTTTAATAGGAGTCATTTGGTGGGTTAAATGGTGGTTTTAACTGAAAGCTGTTTTCAAGGCCATACTCCAGCTGGGCATGGTGTTTCATGCCTTTAATCCCAGCACTTAGGAGTCAAAGGCAGATGGATCTCTGTGACTTTGAGGCTACCCTGGTATACATAGAAAGTTTCAGGACAAGTAGAGTTACATAGTGAGACTTACAATAAATAGCTTAACATATTGTATGCTAACTAAGGATCAATCCTAATTTCTAACATCTTGTTTTCAAAATGATTTTAGCAAAAATGAAATCCTAAATAGTCAACTTGGCAGTTTAAAATTGTTAAGCTCTACAAATAGAATAATGGTTAAACACCTGGGGAATGATCTCAGGAAAGGAGTGGGAATGAGAAAGTCGGTGCTTATATAGAAAGAAGTCTAAAAATGTATTCTTTAGCTAGTTTGTAAAGTGGTTTTATTGAGATACAATTCACATACCATACAATTTGCTCTTTTGAAGTATACAGATAAGTTGTTTTGGGGCATATTTAAAGCTTGCAACCCTCACCACCACTGTTCTAAATTGAGACTTTCTCAGGCAAAGAAGAAATCCCATATGCATTAGTAGTTATTTCATAGTTCCAAACATTTTTTTGAAGCAGGGTCTCTCTCCCTGGCTGTCCTGTAAATCACTCTTATACAAGTCTGGCCTCTAACTTAACAAAGTTCCACTTGCCTCTACCTCCTGAATGCTGGGATTAAAGGCATGTGTCACCATGCCTAGCTTCTAATCAAATTTCTAATCAAATTTTTAATTGATTGTAAAGAACTGTTACAAATTTTAAATACGTAATGGAATGCCACTTTTTCTATAGCAAATATAGAAAATAATTCTGAGTTAAGGCAAACGTTTTAGAATTATCACTAAATATTCTGAGTAAGTTTTGGTTAAAATAAAGGAAACTGTACTGATGAGCTCTCTATGGATTCTTTTCTTCATAGGGACAAGTTCAAGACTAATAGAACTTTCTAGAAAATGAGTGCTGCGGTCATCTCTGAAGAAAGATTATCTTCGCAAAGGCAACCAAAGACCCTTATTTCTAACAGGTCTTGTTGGTGGCACTATTGTTACTCCCAATGCTTAAATATGTTGCTTCCTTTATATTGGCTCAGTGTTTTTATGGAACCTTTCCTGTAGTTACTTCAGTTGTATCTTCCACTAAGTTGTAAACGGAGCAGTTTGTCGTGGTGTCTTGCTGTGCCATCATTAGCACCCATCACAAAAGAGCACAGAAACTCCTTAGCGCTCTTGTACCCTATACTCTGTATCTTGCTTGTTATGGGTTTTAGTGTTTGAAGTCTTCCCAGGATTTGGAGCTCCTTCCTCATTCCAGATAGAGCAACTCCTACTGTTGCTGTTTGTGACCAAAACTCTAGCTAGAGCCGGGGAGGTCTGGAAGTGGAAGGCATCAGTGGAGCACATCTTGAAAATTCGGTCCCAGGGTTCTTCCTGTCCCATGTTCATCCCCCCTTCACTCTGACTTAGACTTTTGCAGCCTTCTGACTGTGTTCTCATTTTGAGGTGTGCTATTTTGATGTTAGAACCTGTTCATTGCTATTAATTTGACTTTAAAGTTCATTTGCTTACTTCTGTTCCATTGATTAAAGCACTCTAAAAGTTGTCTTGGAATTTCTCACTTAACACCTTGGTTTGAAAGATTTTAAGTGAAAAACTATCTTCTAGTCAATGTCAGACTTGTAAAGAAAGAGTGAGAAGTACAGTTGTATGTTTCTGTGAAAGCCCCACTAACCTAGTACTGTGTCTCTTTGCCACACGAAATTCCTTTTGTAGTCATCTTAGGAACTAGGGGTTCCTGTGTGATATACTTGACTTACTATAACACAGATTGTCACATTATTTTCAAAAATGTTATATAGATCTTGATAATTTCCATTGTCATTATTTTTGTCAGTTTTAGGAACTGCCCACTCAATTCGATTTTTGGTTCATTTGCTTCATTTTATTGTGATAGAGTTTCCCTGTGCAGCCCTGGCTGTCCTGGAACCCACTCTGTAGACCAGGCTGGCCTTGAACTCACAGAGATCCACCCGCCTCTGCCTCCCAAAAGCTGGGATTAAATGCATGTGCCACTCCACCCAGCTCTCAATCTGATTTTTATAAACCCTCTTGCTAAAACAGTTAGAAGTGGGAATTAGTGAACTTGTGGTAAGGAAAGAAAAATGATGTGATATGTATCCTTAATAATAGAGACTATCTGAGAGCCTGGATTCAAACCAATACCTAACTTATCCAGCTCCCTTGTATGTGTTTCCCTCTTCACTATATTTTTCATGTACATATTGACTATCGATTTCATTTACTGTATGTATAAGTGTTCCTGTCCAGTTTTTCAATATTGAATCCAGATTTAGAAGATGTAATTTGTAGCCAGGCAGGGTAGTACACACCTGCAATCTCAGTACTCCAGATGTTGAGGCAGAAGGATCATGAGCATAGCCTGAATTATATAACAAGACTCCTCTCAAAATGTTTTTTAAGCTTGTATTTATCATTACTCCTTTATCATTTGTGCTATAGCAATGTCATCTTTCCCACTGCCACCACAATGAAGGTTTCTGCCTCAGAGATCTGCTCTGATTAGCTGCACTGGGCTCAATTGTAACTCTCCACGAGTTGCATCGCATCTGAATTTTTTTTTTTTTCTGTTTCCTTGTGTTACCTGACTTCCTGGTAGCTCCTGTTGTCTTACAGAGCTGACATGTAATGAGTCAAACAAAATCATGTTGATAAACTTGGTAAAAAGAGCTTGGTGAGAGACTGGTTGGTCACGGGTCTAAGTCAGTGACTATTTCCTTGTGATGGAAAAGCTGTGAAGATAATGGTCCTTTGTGTTTAAAGACCCTGGCTGCCTTATAAACACCAGATAGTATTTCCATATCTTCCTGAGTCGATTTCCAACCAACTTCCTTTACTCTTGCAAGTTTGACTAGAGGAAAAAGGCGGCAACAGGTTTATATGGTGGCATTTGTTGCCTTGTGGCAGCACTGTTTGTATTGTTTAAGGGCCGCTCATTGATTGCCACACTCCCACATCAAATGCCATGTAAGGATTGGTTATGATACAGAAGAACCTTGTCATATCCTTTGTCATTTTTTCAAAAGCTGGCTTCTGTTTAGATGTCTTAAGGATTTAATTCATAGTCTTCTAATATTCCTGGGCTTAACTCATATCCATCTGAGCCTGGTACATACCAGCTGCTCCTGTCTTGGGATCATCAATAAGAAGATTTTCAGGAGCATCCTGCATTCACAAGGTTTATTCTCCCCTTGACTGGAACATGTATGTATCCTTTCTGCTGACGGTGCATGATCCTCTGCACTTTAAGCATGTCCCGCTAGTGCTTTATGAATTTCTACAGATATTACAAATTTATATTGACCACTTTTCAACTGAATTCTTCCCCATTTCTCTGTAATACCCTTCAGTTTATACTCTTGTTCTATTTTAAGTATTTGTCACCTGAGTAGACTTTTCGAAACAGTGCCTGGCACATAGTAGGTACTTAATATATACTTGATGAGTCAAAGGATGAAAAGTAATAGCAATTTACAATGGCTGGTGTGCAAACATCTTTCTAAATTCTTCAGAAGATAGCCCCAACCTCAGTTGGTAATGATTCATGTCAAGAGCTGTGGCAGTACTGAATTTCTTTTATCTAGTGCTAAAAGGTGGCTTTCCAAAGTGGAGGAGTGACAGGAATTAGAAATGGATCCACATGAGCCATTTGATTCTTTCTTTGTCTCTGAATCTCTGGTTCTGAATCTCTGGTTCTGAATCTCGGGTTCGTAATACAAGGGCTTCTTTCTATCTCTGACATGGTCTTAGAGCCGCCTTAGAGATTCCAAAGAACTTAACATCCAGCACCCCTTGTGCTTCTTACAATGCAAGGAGGTGGCGTGTGCAAAGTAGTTTTTATTTCTCCTGTGCATTCCAAAGCAATTAAGTGGTTTACCGAGGAGATATAGATACCAAGGAGAGACGGAAGGTGAGCAGCAGAACCAGAGTCTATGCTTGGGCCTTCCTTTCCCTGGGCCAGTCCTCTGAACAATATGTCAAGCAGTTAGAACGATCCCTTGAGAAGAATGTATTGAGCATATTAATCCTCAAGGGTCATCTGTAAATCAAAAGTTTTCTGTCATTCCAGACAGTTACACTCAGGAAAGGGTTTTCTTTGTGGTATTTCCATTCTGGTGCAGTTAGAGGAGACAAGTGGACTAGGCAGTTTTTGCCCTTGCAAAACAACACTTTAGACTAATACAGGTTGTGACTAGAGTTTATATTTGCATGAGATCAGTGCTTGCTTCCAGCCTTTTTGTACAAAAATTCCACATTTGGAAGTTGATGGTTTTGTGTTTTGGTAGACTCAATTACAGTTTCAATTAGATGTTCTTGCAGTTCTCTCTATTGCCATTACTTATAATAATAGCTTGGCTGGCTGTCAGAACCTTGGATCACATTCCTTCCCCCTAGATCTTCAGAGACTTTATTGTCTATATTTGCTGGTGCTTCCAAGTCCAGGAGTACAGATGGATTTTTCTTTCAGACTTGTAGACAACCTGCTTGCTTGGCATGGTTGCATGTTTATGCTTGATATTTTGTAACTTCACTTCAGTATAGCTCAGGGTAGGAAGTTGTCTGTGGCTTTTTCTGGCACGTAGTGAGCTTTAGCAAGTCCCATATTAGGCCTTAGTACATTTTGTATTATTTTGTAGCGTTCTTCGGAAATTTATTTCTCAATCAGCTTTCTGTTATCCATCTTTCACATGTATCTTTCTTTATGGCTTGCATCTCTTTCTCTTCCTTTATGTGTGATTTTTTTTTCTTCTCTGAGTCTTACTCCACACCCTCGTTTCATCAACTTGTTTTCTACTGTTTTTCTCTAGGCCTTGTGGCTTGCTTTCACTTCTGTCATGGTTTTGTTTTAATTTATTTCTCTTGGCTCATTATTTTATTATTCTCTGATGCCTTCTGTTTTTGAAGACTAAGCCTTTTGGTCCAAATTTATGGTTTCTGAAATCATTGTTTTTCCAGAATGTAGTTGTGTATCTTTTGCTTAATATGTCAGGCACACTACATAAAATATGTAGCTTTTATTAATTGCATTATACATGACTTTTTGCTCAGTTTTTGGACATGTGTGCCGGCCAGGGGGGATAAAACACTTACACAAATATATATTTATTCTGTCGTCTTTCCTAGTGGTCCAGATGCTTAAACATTGACTTTAAAGATAATGTCCTTCATAATCTATACGTTAGTAAACAGAAGGAACCAATATTGCCAGCAGGAGAGCACCATTAACCATTTAATCAATACAGGATTTTGTTTGCTGTTCTGGGTGAAAAGATAACTTTTAACTCCAGTTCCTGTCATGCTGATTAGAGATATCAGTACCTTCTGGTTTGAAAATGAGGGACACGTGAAATTTTAATGAACTTGAAAAGTTATCAGCCATTGACAGTGATTTATTAATTAAACATGGTAGACTACTTCAAACTAGGGCATTATCAGTTATCAAGAGAAGTATAAGCTTGTTTTATTAGCAATTTGTAGACAGTCGCTGAAGGTGTTGATCATTCTAAGAGCTTTGCTGTGGATTTCTTTCTTTTCAGTCAACCATTTAAAAATGTGGTTCATTGGAGGGGGCTACGGCTGAGATACAAAGTAAATAAGCTGTGATTAATATAAAAAATAAAATTTATATAAAAAAAGAAATAGAAAACTCTTGTTTATCCTGATGATATACCCCTGTAATCCCAGCATGCAGGAGGTGAAGACATGAGTGACTCTAAGGACAGCTTAGGCAACATAGTGAGAACCTTTGTGAAAGAAGTAGAAGAGAAGAAGAAAACAGGAAGGAAGGAAAGAAGAGAAGAAAGAACAAGGGAGGTAAAGAACAAAGAAGAAGGGAGGGGAGGATATAAGGAAAAAGGCGTAAAGTCTTCACTGTGGCTTATTGTTATTTGTGAATACACGTTTAAGTAGTTTGTAGGTCAGGGCCCTACTATAAAAGAACATGAGATAATGTTTTGAAAGAGTATTTGCAGGTAGATATGAGGCGAAGGCGTATTTGGAATGCTTGTAGGATTGAAACCTCCTCCCCTCGGTAGGCAGAACATTCTCGTTGGCAGCCAGCAGTGAACTGTCTCACCTTCAGAGTTTCCATACAATGATCAAGGACCACAAATGATAGCCTTGCGGTATCCAGCAAACTGTGCATAAAGCAGGTCGTTCCACTGAGGCCAGTCTTCGGCTCAGGTTGTGCTCGTGTGAAACAGGTGATTGAACACAGGTATCCTGGAGTAAGGAAGACTAGAAGTGAGGGTGGCAGACAACAGGAGTCATGGGATAGAAGATGAAATGCAGTCTTGGATTTCAGTAATATGTTACCACATGCTATATAGTCACTGCTGTGCGTGTGACAGTGCTTAAAGCAGAGTGAAATCCCTGCCTCATGAACTGTCTGTTCTAGTAGGGACAAGGTAGTTTTGTCATTCACTTGGGAAACAAGCACCGTAGGGAAAAATGAAAGACTTCACCTTCATAAGGGGCCGGTGTTTTCTTCAGAGAAGGAAGTATTCTTCATTCCCCAAGTTTCTT